ATCAGGGCCGCGGTTCGTCGTCCAGCAGCCCGTCGAAGCATGGCCAGTTCCTGCCGTCTTGCCAGCGTGGTGGCCAACCTCCTCCTGTCCTGCGCGCGCATCGCCTTGCGCCCGCGCAGCTCGTGCCCGAGGCTCCTCACCCAGAACTGCTCCGTCAGGCCAGCACGCATCATCGGCGGGTCCAGGAGGCGGGCTCGACGCCGCGACGATGCCAGGTAGCCAGACTTCTCTGGTTGCAACACCATCCGCAGTTCCTGCATGCTGTCGCCGATGCTGGCCAGCGCGTTCGCCAAGTCCTCAACGCTCTCGCGTTGGGGGCCATGCCAGTCCAGCGCGGCGTCGTCGACGAGCCCCCCTGGGCGCCACCGCTGGGGCGATGGCGCACGCCCGCTGGAGGGCCCTCATGGCCAGCACCAGCAGCAGTGAGCAGGCGCGCCCACAGCCCGCAATGTTCCCCTGCCAGGCGACCACCTCCGACGAGACAGAGCCGAAGGCCAGCAGGCGGCGCAGCTGTCTGTAGGACGCCAGCAGCATCCACGTCAGGCGCAGCGCGAAGCCAAGGGCCCTCGCCTCCCTCATGCGCGCCTCGGCGACCACCATCTCGCACGCCTTCCAGAGGTCCATCGCCACCTGGGCTGAGTCCCAGCCCTGCAGCGCTGCCTGCTCATTGGTCGGAGGCAGAGTCCGAAATGGAGCGCCCAGGCCCTGTGCCCCAGACCAGGGCCGAGGGGTGGGCCCGTTCCCGCGCCTTGGTGACTGGCCTCCTTGCCCTGCTCCAAACCCGAAGCAGCGTGGGCTCAGGCCGATCAGCCGCGTGCCCCCGTCGGGCTTCGCCAGCCGCGCCGTGGCGTTGACCAGCCTGCTGCACGGCCACGCGAGTCTCTCCTCGCAGTGGTGGAACACCGCGATCATGACCTCTATGGCCCGGTCCGAGAGGTCCTCCAAGGCACGAGGGGCGATGCCAGACTGCCCAACCCTTGTGTGCCACGGGAACGACCGCGCGACGCCACGCAGCTCGTGAACCCCATAGCAGGGAGCTGCTCACGCAGGCTGGCGTCGCCAGGGGGATCCATGCTGGTCAACCCTTGGTACTTCCAGATGCCCCCCCCCCCGATGTTTCATCTCGCGATCCCCCAACGCAGCGCAGCCGTCGTCCTTGCACGAGGGCAAGACCTCCTGCCTGACAGGGAGCGTCGACACCGCGCGCGCTGCCCCTGCACCACCATGGAACGCTTCCCTCGCCCAAGTCCTCCAGCGAGCCTGCGCCGCCAACTGCGTCACCCTGACCCAGCTCGCCTCCTCGAACATGCACTCCCCGCGCTGAAACGGCACCCAAGCCCAGGTTGGGAGGCGCTGCCAGTGGCTGCTGGCCGCCACGTTGCGTAGGAGGGCCCTGCAGTCCACGACGCATTTCGCCAGGACCTCGGGTCGCGGCGCGCTTTTAGGCTGCTGGGCCCCCTCGGCCAAGCGGCCGCGCACCCCAATGGTGCGTAGATCTCAGGCTGCCGCTGCCGCCCACGCGTGCCCGACAGGTCCTCACATATGCCGCTTGCGGGGTCGGACCCAGACGTTCTTCCTCCAACAGGCTGCGACCTCGCCATGCACCCCACGGCCGACGAAGGGAGCCGCATCATCAGTGCCCACCAGGTCCCAACGGTCGAGGATCTCGGTTTCGATCCTCTCCGCCAGCAGGCCCCAGATGATCTGCAATCCAGCATGGTCCGAGGCACCCTTCACGTTGGCCCTGACCTCGCCCCATCTCCACGGTGCTCTCGCACAGCCTGGCTTGGCCGCCTCCTGGGGGATTGGGCGGGGCTCCTCCAGCACGCGCCGCCACGTCTGCACGGCCACGCTCAAGGACAGTGCATTGGCCAGTGCAGCCACGTACTAGCCTCCATGTCCAGATCCGCCTGCGGGGCCACCACGTGCCAGAGGCTTCTGGGGGCCACAAAGTAGTCGAGGGTGGACCCTGCGCCCGGACGGCACGCATGCCCCGAGGGAAGCACGAGCGCACCGTTGAGCTTCGCCACCCAGCCGAAGTCCAGGGTACCAGGATCCATGTTCCAGCCCCCCATGAGGACCCAGCAGCACCCTGCGGCATCCAAGCCACTCACGAACTGCGCCAGGTGCCAAATGATGGCGAGGTTGTAAGCAGCGAGCCCCTCGCCATCATGCAAGTACACTGATGACCACGACGCCGCCCTTGGGCCCAGACCTCACGCGGGCCGCCAGGAGCCCGCCGGGGACGATCTCCGCCTCACTCCTGGCGGGCGCCGTGACCTGCGCGCGGGGCGGCGCCGGCACTGCCACCCCGCCCCGGGTGCCAGAGGCCGAGGCGGCAGAGGCCCGCGCAGCACTCCACAAGCCATGCCGCCCAGCATCATGGGAGGCCCTTTGCTGGACAGCCAGCTCAGCCTCACGCCGATGGTGTTCCTGCACAGCCACCGCCAGGGTGCCGCTGCCGTCGAGACAGGCAAGGTGCTCACCCAGCGGCCCCCACGACGTGGCGTTCACGGTCGTCAGACGGCATCCCCTGGCCAGCTTGCAACCCTGCCTCCTCGGCCCTCGGCCAGGGGCAGGCGGGGTGCCCCGAGCCGCGCGCGGCCCCTGGCAGCGTGCCCCCTCCGCAAGCGGCCCCGCCAGTTGCCTCTACGGTTGTTGCTGGCTGCTCTGCTGCTGGAGCCATGCCGAACTCGTCGCGCCAGCGGGGCAGGGGCTGCGGCGACGAGGGGCCGCAGCCCACCGTCTCCGCCTCCAGACCCTGCCCACTGGCAGTCTCCTCAGCCTGCCCGCCAGCGAGGGCGCCAGGGCCACCCCCCGCAGCGCCGCGCAGCTCGGCCTCCTGCATGTCCAAGCTGTACCCAGGCCTGCGGCCACCAGCTCCTCGGCGTCGCATTGCTCACCGCAGTTCGTGCCCACGCCGAACGCGATGTCCGCGCGGGGCGGTGGCCGCGACGCCGCGGGGCAGAATCCCGCCGCCCCCGCCCCAGGGCAGCCCGCCGCAGCCAGCCACTCAGGCTGCCCCGTGGCGCCAACCCAGGAGCTGACCCCAGCAGCCCCAGCCAGCGCGCCCCCGCGCTCGTAGAAGCTGACCCCCATGTCCGAGGCCGCCAGCTCCTCGGCGCCGCCGCACAGCTCCCATGTCACGCGCAGAGCCCCCAGGCCAGCCTCTGCTTCTTCGGAGACACCAGGGCGAGGTCCTCGGTAGGCATCACGCACCACATCATCAGCAGGCCGCGTAGCCCCGTCAGCGGGGGGAGGCGCCTGACCTGCCTTCTTGAGGAACGCGCACTGGCCCTCGACCCCGAGCTCCTCGTCGCCAATGGCGTCGTCACCAAGCCCTCGCCCCCTGTCTCAGCTTCTGCGCGTCCACGCTCGGCCGCCGCAGCAGCCGCTGCAAGGGCCTCTGCCGCCACCTTCTGTTCCCCCCTGGCGTTGGCCTGCTTGAGGACCTCGGCCGCCAGCTCCTGCTCCATCGTGACGCGCCCCAGCAATTTGCCGAGGATCTCCGCTGCGATGCGCTGGCCGCACAATTCCACAGTGCCATCCAGCCCCGCACCAGGCTCAGCAGGAGGACGCACAGCCGCCCCCAGGGCGCGGGCATCCTCAGCCCTGAGGTCCATGATGAAACCCTCCTTTTCCAGGATGGACACCCGCAGCTCCTTTGCCTTGGCTTTCAACTCTTGCATCTGGAGCTCCACCGCCGCCAGCTCGCCGCGGCCCTTCTCCAGCTGCTTCTCGTTTTTCTTGATGCGGTCGGTGAGGCTCCTGAGGTGCGCCTCCTTGGGCTTCGAGGTAAACAGGGCGCTCCGCAGATGGGCCTGCTCCGCCTCCAGCTCGGCCTGCTGCTGCACCACGAAGTCCGCCACGTCGACCTCATCAGCCCACGCCTGCAGCGCGAGCAGCTTGTTGTCGACCGCGTCCGGGCGCTTCTTCTCCGGCGGAGCCTCTCGCCAAGGGGCGCTCTCCGCCGCGCTGGCCACCTCGGCCGCGCCCCCGCCTCGGCCGCCCTCGACGCGCGCCTCGAGCTCCTTGAGGCGGGCCTCGGCCGTGGCCAGCTTGTCCAGCGCAGCCTTCTCCGCAGCGCTGGGGCCCACTCGCACGGAAGGCGCCGTGGGCGCAGGCGTGCTGCAGAACATGGACGCCTTGGGCAGGTTGCGCCACTTGCACTGCGTACGTTCGGCGAAGTTGACCTGGCGGATGCCCTGCTCGTCAGGCTTATTGCACGACTTGCAGTGCCAAGGCGACTTGGCGCATCGCCGTGCTGCTGGCCCGCCCAGACTCCGCGGCCCCGCAGGCTCCTTCGCCTTCCCACCTCCAGCGCCGCCAGCGCCGCCCCCGGCCATTGCTGCCGCCCCGCAAGAGAGGGCACCCACGCGAGCAGCATAGTGGGCAGCGCCGCCGAGCGGCACAACACAATCACTCGAATATTTCCTTGGCCCAACGCGCGAGATCCCTCGTGCTCGGGTGGCGCCCGCGACGGACTCTCGGTCGTCGGGTGTCGCATGGCCTTGAGCCAAAATGGCTACGGACTCTCTCTCCCTCTCTCCTTTCTCTATTTGACTCTCTCTCTCTCTCTCTCTTTTTCTCCTCTCTCTCTCTCTCTCTTCCATCCGATTCCAAGATTCGAGGCGACAAGGTTCTCTGACGAGCATGCTGTGTGGATGTGTGTATCGTCGCATGCTCTTGGAACGTTCCGTCTTGCAGATATTTGAAGGCCGAACGGCGTCTGAATGAAGGTGCATGAGATTTCGTGTCCCGGGCGCACCCCGTTGGGTGATCGTGCTTGTTTTAGGCGTTCGGCCACCAGCTCGCGCACAAGAAGGTGCTGTTTGCATGGCCGCTCGTGTTGTGTCCGTGTTCACAAGATTATATAGGGTTGTGGTTGTCATGAACATAGTTTTTCGCATGAGGTACCACACGCATGCTTGGTGCATGCGTCCCGCAACCACCCCGTCAGTAGATGCATCAGCTCACCGTTTAGCACCGTTGTGCCACAGGAACCAACTTCTGCCACGTGGAGTATTCCACGGCGCGCGCTTCTCTGCATAGGGAGGGTGTCAGAGCATGTGGGGGCGTCGTATCCCATTGCAGTTCCCCATTAGTGCGGAGTAGGCGGGGGGGACCGCCATCAAATCCAGATGCAGTGCCGTTTTTGTACGCGAGTGCGATTGGGATCTCCAGGTTGCCTTACGCGACGCATTCAACACGAAGTAGTCTTAGATGCATGGGTCGTTTCGAGGAAAGTGTGGCAAGCACGTGAGTTACAACGCGAGGAGGAGGAGGAGAAGGAGGAGGAGGAGGAGGAGAAGCATAATAAGACAACCAGCACGGGCTACTGGTTAGCAACCGCATGCAAGTATGGAGCATGATATTGCAGTCATTGTCTTCTAGTAAACATCTGGCGTGCCTCGCTGTTCTTGACGTCGATTGGGTATTGCTTGGTTCGCCTGGTGCACCTGGTTTGCCGTGTGAACTTGTACACTATCTACCGCACGCGTCGATCACTTAAGCAATCATGCCATGTCCACAGCCGCTCTCCCACTCGCCAGGCTGCCACCTCATGATATGTACCTCTTGGTGTTCCCCTTTCTTCACCACCAATAAGTTTCGATCCTGGGGCCTCGGTTTCCTGGTCTCCTCGGTCGCTGGTCTCTGGGGGCTTGGTTTCCGTAGGGCTCAGGGGCTCGGTTCCTGGGCCTTTCGTCTTTTGGGCTTCGGGCTTCCTGGGGTCGGGCCGTCCCCGCGGGAGTGGGGCCTGCGCCCTCCAATATCCCCGCCTGGGGTCTCGGTTGGCGGTTGCTCCTGTCAAGTGCCTTGGCTTGGGGCGTGCCGGGCACGTCGCGCGCGACACGCAGTTCGAGCGCCGTGCACGGCTCGCGAATGGCGCCGATTTCATTTTGATTTTTCAGCTCCACACCAGCAAGTGGAGGAACATCATCAGCCAGCTCCTCATCTTGCTGATCATCCTCTTCCTCATCATCGTCCGTCCTCCCAGCCACGACCGCGCCCCTTTTCACTAGCCGACCCCTCCCACTCCCTCCTCCACCCTGCTCCCAATCACCCTCAACCCTGTCATGCTGCTCCTCCTCCTCCTCCTCCTCCTCCTCCTCGTCATCATCATCAGCAGCAGCATCATGATAATCCACATCATCATCATCATCATCAGCAGCAGCAGCAGCAGCATCATCATAATCATCATCATCATCATCATCACAATCATCATCATCATCATCATCATCATCAGCAGCAGCAGCAGCATCAGCATCAGCATCAGCATCTGCATCATCATCATCATCATCATCATCATCATCATCATCATCATCATCATCATCATCATCATCATCATCATCATCATCATCATCATCTCCCTCTCCCTCCTCGACATCGGGGTCGCATGCGGGCTACAGCCAGCGAGCCCTTCCAGCCACGAATTGGCCATCGCTGGCCGTGGTTAGTGCGCATATCCTGGCCATGAGTAGCGCGGACGTGAGGCGTTGGAGGGCCCCTACGTAGCTGTCTCGGCCCCAGCTGCTTTAGTTCAAGCCGGCCAGTGGGCTAGCCCCCCACGGCGCCGCCGGCGAGTCCCGCCAGAAGGCCGCAGCTTGGAGTTGGAGATGCGACAAGAGGGCCGATCCGAAGTCTCAGAGCCCCGTCGGGCCGTCGGCTGGCAGTCGTTGGGCGCCCGTCAGTTGGCGGCTCTGCGGGTCGGCACCTTCGGGAAGACGACCCAGCAGTCGCGGGGAGGGCACGCTCCAGCGGTCTCGACCGAGGGCGCGGGGCACACTGGCCGCAGAGCACGCCGCGGAGGATCAAACGTGGTGCTCGCCAGGCTGGCGCACCCACATGGTCACCCCCCGACAGACGGCTGCCGCCGCCGTCGGGCCGCTGCCTTCTCTTGGATGTACGTGTCGCTTCCTTCTCCCACCTCTCCCCCCGCTTCTGCACAGCTGGCAGGGGTAGGCCAGACCCCTGAGTCCCAACTGCCTCCCTCCTGTTTCATCACTTCTAACAGGATCAGGGGAACGATGGGGGCGTTGGTTAAGGAATGTGTCCAGGAGGCTTCAGACCCTGGAGGATTCCTGTATCTGATGAGGGCGGCGGTGGTATCCATATGTATCCATTCCATGCTCAAGCCTCAATAGGTGTTCCATGGGCTTCCAGACCCTAGAAACCTTATTTAAGGGGTCCGTATCCAATGCCCACACCGAGGTTCAATCGCCACTTCCCGCCGTACAGGCTGGGACGCTCGAGGAAAAAGGATGCATCGCCACAGAGCAGACCGCGGAGCTGGTCGGGGCAGCTGGGCCGCTGGGCCGACGCTGCGCAGCGATGGTCGCTCGAGCGCGCAGAGCGGGCTGTTGCACCACCGTGGAATTGTTGCTGTTGGTAGCGGTGTCAGCGGCGACGGCGGTGCGTGCCGAATGAGCGCGCACCGACCAACCCAAATGAAGTTTGGAGCTTCTCGTCGCTTCTTTGAGGTTTGCTCGCCTCGGGATGCTTCCCAGCAGCTGCGCCTCGCCGAGGGCCGACGAGGTGTTTGTGTTCATCCCTGGAGGGCGCAAAGCATTGATCGGTCACGACAACTAAATGACTTTGAGGATCCGTGCAGGGCGCCCCCCTCACGAGATGAGCCAGGACGCCGCGGGGGGTGATGCCCCCAGCCGCCTGCCGAAAACCTCTGCGCAGTGGAGGCGAGCACGTCGAGAGGACGTTGGCGTGACGATCAAGCCCTTCGCACCCTCGGGTGGGCCAGCGGCTGTAACGGTCGGGGGCGGCCAAGAGGGGGGGATGACTTGGGGGGGGGGCGTATCGTGGCCGGGGCTGTGATACCTCCCAGGTCTCGTGGCCCCCTCTTCCTTCTTTCAGTCGGCGTGACGATCAAGCCCAGCGCACCCCTGGGCGGGCCAACGGCTGCGACCGTCGGGGGCGGCCAAGAGGGGGGTGACGATTTGCCCGGAGATCCTGGCGCCTCAATTCTTTCGAGCGGACGGTGGAGGAGAGAAGACAAGGAGTAGGAAGGAGGAGGACGCACGAGGAGGGAGAAGGACGGCCGCCAGGGAGGAGGAGGGAGGACGGAGGAGGAAGGAGGAGGACGCAGGAGGAGGGAGAGGAGAGGAGGGAGGAAGAGAAGGGAGGGGCTACGGCGACTAGGAAGAGGAAGGAGAGGGGAGGGGACCGCCAGGGAGGGGTGCACTCGTCAGGGAGGATGAGGGAGGACGGCGGAGGAGAGAAGACAAGGAGGAGGAGGGAGGAGGACGCACGAGGAGGGAGAAGGACGGCCGCCAGGGAGGAGGAAGGAGTAAGGAGGAGGAAGGAGGCGGACGCAGGAGGAGGGACAAGGGTCGAAGGATGAAGAGAAGGAATGGAGTACGACGAGGAAGACGAGCAGGGAAAGGGGAACGGCCTGTTCACTGCCTGTCTGTCTGTCAGTTGTTGTCGCCGTCGGCGGCGTCCTTCATCGTAGCCGCCGCCACCGCCGTCGTCGTCGTCGTCGTACCAGTCGTCCACTCGGGTTTGCTCTCACACCCAGGCACTCACAGCCAGACACTCACAGTTGGACGTGCCAGGAATTGAAATGCACATAAAGGAACCTGCGCATCGAATATTTTCAATACCTCCCCCGCCCCCCCCACTCCCGGGCCGCGCACGTGCATCGCGCCATGATGTGCGACCCTCCTCTTGGACTCTTGGACGCCCCGGAGGCGGCGTCATTGTGCTCCCCACCGCTCTCCGGGCGCCCACAGGCAGCAGCTGTACAGGACCAGCGGGGATGGTGATCCACGACGTGGGAGCTGCCTCCGATCCGCCAGAGTCATCCCGCCGAGGAGTTGGAATATGTCCGCACCAGACGCCCGCCGCGACGGTGGCGGGGAGCAGCCAGACCAGCAATAGAATCCTCCAGGCATTCGGCCGCACGCCCGTCCCGCACCAGGATATTCAAACAAAGCAATAACGCATGAACCGAATCTGTCGGAGGTCCGCGCGGATTTGTTTGGATCGGCGATGGACCCCCGAGGCGGCGCCTCCAGCGCAGATCCGAGAAATCCGCACAGACTTCCAAAATGTTATGTTTATGCCTGTTATTGTTCCTCCGGGTGTGTTTGAACATGACGCAGCCCAGCAATGACGCAGCGGGGAGGAAGCCGAAGAGGAGCACCGCCACAAAGAGCGAGGTAATTGGTGCAGGTTGCGACTCGCCCGAGCTTTCGAGGAGGTGGCCCGCCCGGCCGCCGGCTGGGCGGGCGCCCTTGCCTCGCCACGCCGTGCAGGTTGCAGCAAGAGCTCGGTTCTGGCGCCCGTCTCAGGCTGGATCCTGAGGCGCGCTTTGAGTGCACGGCTATTCCTCCTTCCCCTGCTCATGGTCATCGTCGTCACCTTCGCACGTGTGCTGGCATCGAGTAGCGGAACAATTGCACAGACAGCAAAACGTTCGCAGTGTCGTTCGGATGTATGGGGTCGGCGCCAGAGGAACCGCCAGGGGTGCCCAACGCCAATCCCAACAACATTTCGTAGCAGCGAAAGGTTATGTTGGTGCAATGTTGTCCTTCTTCTATTATCCTCATCTTCTCGCTGCTGCCCCCCTCCTCCTCCTCCGCCTCCTCCTCCTCCGCCTCCTCGTGCTCATCCTCATCATCTCTTTTTGGTCTGCTCCTAGTCTTTAGGACTTCTGGCCCCAAAGCGCCCTTACCTTATCTCCTCCTCCTCCTCCTCATCATCCTCCTCCTTCTATTCCTCCTCCTACTACTCCTCCTCCTGCGTGGCTCGCCGCCTCCTCCTTCACCAGGGCGAATCCGTCGAGCACGCCATCAAGATGTCCGGGGAGTCGGTCGGGGGGTCCAGGATCCGCGTCGACTACGCCGAGAACAGGACGCGCACCAATCCTGCGGCTTGCAGGCCGAGCAGGGAGCTCCAGAAAGGGACATGCTTTCGAGCGATCCAGAAGTCGATCTCTCGCCCTCCCTCGCCCTCGGCGGCAGCCGGCGAAAGCAAAACGGGGGCGCCCCCCGTTGGCAGAAGCCTGTAGAAAGCTGGCAGAAGCCGGTACAAGCTGGCTCACAGCGCCTAAGGCCCATTCTCCAAGAGAGTGCCCGGCAGTAGTTCTGTCGGGACAGAGCTAATACCCGAGCCAAGGTTGACAAGGCAACAGCTCCCTTCCAGGAGATAACAGCAGTTTGGGATTCAACTCTCCTGGGCCACACAGCCAAATCTTGAAGCAGGTATGCCGTATCTCACAAGGTTGCCCTTGCATCCTTGCCTCCTCGGCCCATCATGAACCGCATTATTTGGCCTGGCGCCGCTACGCTTGCCTTGACATGGATATGCAACGGCCTTGCATCCTTGCATGGTACTTCTCCTTGTTGTGGGTTCGGACCGCACATCAATCACACCAAAAGTCACTTTACCGTTTCTTTCACAGCAACCCGTGGTGAACCACACAGGAAGACGTAGGAGAGGCAAAGAAAAATGGCCATGCTGCATTACCCGTGAAGATGTCGAGCACAGGGGTGGGACGTGTCGCGCGAGCCGTGAGTTTGATCAGTGGCATCGAGTCGTGCCGTAAAGGGTGAAGCTTGAAGCAGTTAATACCGATGCCAATCGCCGACCGGGCGCCACTGAATTGCAGTCCGCCCCAGCAGGTCAGGTCGTGGTTGTTGCCGCTTGGCAAGGGCCTTCGGTGCTGTGGCAGCGCAGGTCGTGACGACAAATGGCACTGGTGACAGGAAGAGGAGGAGGAGGAGCAGGAAGATGACAGGAGGTCGTGCGGGATGAGGAGGAGGAGCAGGAGAAGGAGGCAGTGGACAGGATAAGGAGCAGGATGAAGGGGCAGGATGAGGGAGGAGGAGGAGGAGACAGGGGAGGGAATGGGTGACGGGATGAGGAGGAGGTCTTGCGAAGCAATGTTCAGGGGGGGTGCTGCCTTTTTCCGTAGAATCGCTTGCCATAGTTGTTGCCTTGTGCCGAATAGGAGACACATACCGCCGAATGGTTTGGCATTGAAGGACCGTGGATGCTCGAAGCACAGGGAGGCGGCGGTGCGGGCGTGCAAATGTGAGAGGCATGACAATGCCCAGCAAGGTAGAACTAGTTGGTAGCGGAATGCATGCACTTCCGAGTGATTTCGATTTCATGACATTTGGGAATGCGTTACATGTTTTATTTTGACAAGGTATGCACGAGATCATCCGCGTGTGTGTTGAATGCCGTATTCTGCGTTTCGCAACCAAAGTGGACGTGTGCAGTATGATCTGCACGCTGATGCAGTGAGTTTGGTAGCCGTTGTCATTGTCCCTACGTGCGTTTGGCATTGACCTCACGAGAACATGCATCAAACAGATGACAGAAAACGTCGGGTTTCACTAGCAAGTTTAAGTGTGCGCTTGCATGCCTGTGGTGGGGACTTCCAGGTTCTGACGCCCAAGGTCTTTGCACGCCCGATCACAGACGAGACATCAGCTTGGGAGAGGGCGGGCTACGATGTGCCCTGCGCGTGGAATCCTTGCCGCGGTAAGACCCACGGCGATGTGATCCTATTTCGTTGGAGGGGATAACAGCACTTCCTTCCAGGCGTGACGAAAAGGGATTGAGAAAGAGGGGAGGAAGCAAGAGGAGGAGCAGCAGCAGCAGGAGGACGACAACGGCGATAATGAGGAGGAGGAGGAGGAGGCAGAAGGGGAAGCGCAGGAGGAGATTGAGCAAGGGGAGGAGTAGGGCGAGCATGAGAAGGATAAAGAGGTAAGGGTGGCGCATCTGGAGAAGGAGGAGAAGGAGGAGGAAGAAGAGGACGGGGATAAAGAGAAGGGGGAGGAGGAGGAGGAGGAGGAGGAGGAGGAGGAGGAGGAGGAGGAGGAGGAGAAGAAGAAGGAGGAGGGCGCCCCAGGAAAGGTGAAATAATTAGGAGGATAAGGAGGGAGAGTGTGAGGAGAAGGAGGGGAAGAAGGAGGAGGAGGAGGAGGAGGATGAGATGATGAGCAGAGATATCGAGGTGGGAGGAGGGGCGGGGTGAATTAGGAAAAGGCCTTCTAAGAACCCTTACTATTGTTTGCGGCCGTTCGTTGTATTCGACGCTGGGGCCAAGACAAAGGACTACGGAGAAGACGAGGAGAAGGAGGAGGTTGATGAGGAGGGGGAAGAGTGAGGAGGAGAAGGTGGGGTCGATGACGAAGACGTAGGGGAGGAGGAGGAGGAGGAGGAGGAGGAGGAGGAGGAGGAGGAGCAGCAGGAGCAGGAGCAGGAACAGGAGCAGCAGCAGGAGCAGGAGCACGAGCAGGAGAGAAACGGCGGCGGCAGCGGCCGCGTCGAGACGGGGACGGGGAGGCTCGCGACCCCCCGCAGCGGGCCCCGCGCCCCGCGCGAGCGGGCACGCTTGGAGTGAGTTTCTCCTGGCAACCGCGTCGGCCACGCGAAACACCGGAAGCGAGAGGGCACGGGAGCCTTGAGACGGGCGTCAATGCAAACGAGGGTCAGCCAGATCCTGCAAAACCAGATCCTGCAAAGTC